CATTCTCAGCTCATTCATCATTAGAGACACCTGACTCACCTTTACTTATTTACCTGTAAGCGATTGCTGGAACTGCTCCTTTGGATACACTGTCCATTTTCAGTAGAGATAACTGTTACCTAATAATCCCCGTAATTGTCTCTGCTAGGTGAGGGTTTAAGTGATCACAGTAGGGGTGCTGACTACTCCCGTTCTTCTTCCTTGGTCCCTGCAGACTAACAGCAGGGTGGGTGCACGTCTTCGTGTCGCTGCTGGGAGGCAAAGTCACGAGTTGGTTTAGTGATAAACTATTTACAGAGAGAGCCGGTATGAATTGAATAAGGACCTTCACAAATGATTTGAGGAGTGCGTAATGCACGGGCTTGGCTTACGAAGATGCCTTAAATCAGCTGCAAATTTGACATTACTACTTCTTTTAAACAAAACAGAGCGTTTCTCATTCCTGCAAGCTGGCAGACACCCTGTTCGGTTCAGTTAATTCAGTATCAACAGAGAAAGATTTTTTTATTATTATTATTTTTTTCTTTAGCAGTAGAAAAATTGTAGCCCGGGGGTATGTTGCTTTGACAGATTGGGGTTATATGGTTGAAGCTGACCTATGCAGCTTGCTTCCTCTTCCCCCTCCCAGCAGGCAGGATGCAGCACGTATGATTGGAAGTGGCTATCCTTATTTTGCCCTTTATCTGATGGAAGGCCACCACAGTAGTCAAGAAGGACTTGTTATAAATTTTGCTTTTCCTGTGAGGGATGCTCGAAAGCTCAGTGAATAACCTGTAGAAATAAAAAATAAGATATTTTGGCTGTGTGGGAGGGAAGCATTTAATCACAGCAAAGAATAGGGGATTGCACAGTCAAATAAGCAGTTCTTGACAGATTTTAGAGACCAGCAGTGGGAAGTGAGAAGGGTGTATCGAATAGTAGTGTAGGAAAGCACAAATGGAAATGAACTGAAGAGAGATAATAGCATCGTATTTAGAATCTGTCACTTTATCAGAATTATGTTGACTGGTTATTAACAAAAGAGAAAGAATTGTTTTTTTAGAGGAAGAAGGGTTTCATTCCCCCCTCATTAGCTGAGGAACCTGCTGACAGGAATTAAGGCGGAATAGTACTAAATGGGGGCTTCAGCCACTCCCTCATGTCTGCAAGAAAGGGTTATTTTTAACCCAGATCTGCTTAGTGACTGCAATTGCAGCACAGCCCTAAAAAAAAAAAAAAAAAAAAGAAAAAAAAAAGCTCTGCTGGCAAAACTAAGGCTGCTTTGTGCTGCTATGAGAGAATGGGACGGAGAGGTCCGGGGTGGGAATCCTGTAGGGCAACAGTGCCCCTGACGCCTGTGTCATGAAAATATGCCTCAAGTTAACTATTGTCCTCTGACCTCAATCCATGCTGAAACAGGGGCTTTGCATAATCATTGAAGGAGACGGTTCCTGCTCCAAAAGATGTTATGTTTTGAATTGCCAAAATAGACAAAGGAGACATTGTCAGCCCTTCACACATGGGAAACAGAGGCAGAGAGAGAGATTTGTCTGGGGCACATAGGCTAATTTTGACAGAAGGGGTACTTAGACTCAAGTTTCCTGAATTCATTTGTGTACTACAACCACAAGATTGCCCTTCGTTGCTAATACTGGATTTTTTTTCTCCCTGAAACTTCAGTTCTAATACAGGGTTGTCTATCAAAAACATGATTTCATTTTGCTCCGTTTAATAAATACGCTAGTGATTCTTTCCTCAGACAAAACTGTGCAGCTTGCACGTACATCCGAGTTTCAATGCTGAAGTTGCAAACATCCCAGGGAACTTCAGGTGGATTTTCACATTGGGACCACCAGGGACAATGATGCAAAGAAAGGCAGAGATGTGACTTTGGCTTCTGCTTTTCTCTGTCTGCTCGGGATCACAACCCCATGCATAGGTAGAAGGGGAGCCTGCAAGAGTAGCAATGCTGTTCTGCCCAGGGAAGAAAAACAAAAATATCGTACTAACTAGAATGTCCGTTTTTCTTGCTCGAACTTGTTAACTCCAGGAAGGCCAGTGAGACTTGGCATTGCATGCCCAAATAGGCTGTTTGGGTTTTTTATGAGGCAGTATTGAGTGGAACCATCTGGGCTAGGAGAAGACCACACTTCTGAAATGAGCCTTTAGGAATACTTAAGTTAAGTAGCTGTCTGGGGCACCACGCTGAAAGGAAGGGCACTCACAGCTGCGTGTATTTTATGGGTTTATTTTATCTCTGATGACAAAAGAGAACTTACTAGTCATGTGGTTCCTCATAAATTTGGAGCCACTGCTGACAAGTGGCACTGCCTGTGTTCTCAACCACGCTGGCGCAGTTCCCCCAGCTTTCTTGCTCGCGATGTTAATAACGATGCTGCTAATGGATGATGCTTTACAGAGATATCTTTTTTTTTTAGAGAGATATCTTTTCTCTTTTTTCTTTAGAGAGATAACTTTTCTCTGAACTTAAAGGCAATCCCCAAGTTATAGTTTGAGAATGGAAACTTAAGTGTCTTAAGTACCTTGGATGAATACTTCCATGGTCATTCATCTATATCAAAGTGGCTCATGTCTCTGGTTCCTGAGGTCCCAGTCTTCCTAAAGGTGTGCTGTTCACTTTCCTGAGAGCTGAGGGAATCCGTACCTCTGAAACCAATGTCCTTCCAGAAAGCTAAATACAGGTTTGGGAGCATAACTTTCAGTATGTCAACGGTGTGTCTCAACTTAGGTGGATTAAACTGCATTGCAGTCTCTGGTTTTGGGCTGGTTTTTTATGCCCCATTGGGGCAGCTTCCTAAACTACCTCCAGGGAACTGGTTCCACTGCCTGTATTCCAGTTCCACTGCCTGTATTCCAGTTTCCAAAGATACATCTTATTTCTGTGTTAGGAGGCAAGCTCCCCTCCTTCAAGCACTTTTCTGTGTGACAGACCTGGAAAAGGGCACATCAAATTCAGTATAATTTCAAAAAATGTAACCTATTTTCCTGTGCTTTCTATTCACTGAGAGGAATCTTAGAGAGAGAGATCGCTCATGGTAAAATATTTACCAGTGTATCGCCTCAACTAAGATAATAGCTCTTATAGTGCAGGTGTGAAGAAAGAAATACTTGCTCCTTAACCTTTTTTCAATCCATGTCCTGTTCAAGCTGTCTCTGTTTCAATGGACCCTAGAAGCTTTGCATGGTATCTATTAATCTGATTTACTAATAGACTCCTAAAGTTTAAACAGAGGGAGAGAGAAGACAAACTGGATTCAGGCTTACAGGAATCAGATTGATGCCAGCTTTGTCACGGACACCCATTTGACTTTATGCACATTATTTAATATTTGTGGTTCCCCTGTCTGCAAAATACAGATACGAAATCTTTTTTTACCCTATCCATACTTGTGTAGACAGCAGGTATGGACAGGAATCAGCTCCTCCTGTGTCTTTGGATACCTCAGAAATGAGTCCCTGATCCTAGGTGAAACTTCTAGTTGCTTCTGTAAGCCACATAATAATAACTGGCTTCAAACTGCTTCGGGGAAAAAATGCAACCTTTGGATTACATTGGTGTAAATAAAAATTCCACTGCAGTTCACAACTCAAAAATGCTGGTAGTGTTTAGCATCAATGTCTGTCGCTTGAACATCTGGCATTCATCATTGCTTTCCTTTTCCTTCCACTGTCATATTTTATCCCCATCTGTTAGAGGTTTCTTAGTACTGTCTATATAAATCTCAGTTGGGGTAGTTGAATCATTACAGGCTGCAATGTAAATGAAGGAAAAAGAGGTGAACTTAAGGGAAGTGTTTCTCTCTGCTCCCCTTCTTCCTCCCCTCTCCCTGTCCACAGACAGTACTAGACAGCCTTACTATCTCGCATGGTACCTCTGCTATGAAGAGAGATGGAAAAGTTTCCAAAAATAGCAAATGTTTTTACCATCCCTACTTCTGAAGGCAGAAAGTGGGAGAGGCATTGAAGCCTGAGTGGACACCCATTGCCATTATTGGAAAGACCAAAATGTACTGCTTTGGAACAACCCTTCAGCAAGATAATGAGAAATTGGGAAAGCAAACATTCCTTAAAATCAGACTTCCCAGGCAATGTCTTTGATGTATTTTCTTAAAATTAAATTAGTCTTATTGCAGTAATTTAGCTTACTGCTAGGACGGATAATACCGAAGGTGCTAGGAAAAGATGGGTGTGTTAATATTAGCCAAAGCAGATTTTTGGTACTTTTTTTTTTCCCTCAAAAACCTGTGCAGTGCCCTCCTAATGGCCGTCACTTTCAGCTCTCCCAAGCCGTGCTGGCAGGGCAGGGAGCCAAAGCAACATTCCAAAGATGCATTTCTGATGGGGAAATGAATCCAACACCCCCCCATACGAGATATTTCCAGTAGCATGCCTGCGTGCGTTACCCTGCCAAAGCCAGGTGCTCCCGTTTGTGCACAGTGTCACACAGCCCCATGCGCTGGGAGCACGTGTGGATTTAATTCCCTGCCAGCTTTAGCAGCTAAAGAGGGTATTTGCTTGTTCTAGAAACACTTGGGGACACCGTAGTCCCAAGCTACTGGAAATTAGGGAAAAAAGGGCCCATTTCCCTCTGCCTGGCAAGGGCTGTTGCAGACTGCCATCGCTATCCATCCCAGAACTTTATCCAGGCTCAAGGTGGGCTGAAGCTGGAGGGTCTCTCTGTACAAGACAGCGATCATGTTTTCAGTTCAATGGATGGCTTATATTGTTGGGAACTTCATTATACTTGGAACAGCAAGAATGCCCCATGTCACTATGTGTGTTCCTCCCGATTGTCTTGCTTTTTCACCCTTTTTAGTTTCATGTATCAAAAGTGTGTCTTCAGTTTGTTTGAATTGATAGCAGGTTAGCTGAAATGAGAATAAACCGTTGCTACTATTGCTGGTTGTCAACTTGTGCCTTCTCTTTCTACAAAGCATATTGCATTCCCGATTTCCCATTATTTTTCACTTACATTCCTGTGGTGTTATCCTGCTACTCAGTGCAGACTCCCAGATTTCAGCTCGGCAGCCAGATCAATCAAGCAGTAGGTGTCCTGGTCAGCATCTGCACAAAGTGAGAATGATCGGCCCGGCTCACAAGCAGAGCAGTTGCTGGTGTGTCCTGCAGAGCAAGCCCTGGCTGATTCAGAGGGCGCATGCTCGTGTGAAAGGCCAGGCGGTCCCTAAAGTCACAGTTGCTCTCTGAAGCTGGTAGATCAGTTGAATCCTGATGATTGGTTCTGACATTGCGGTCTGTTGCTGGAAACGGATGTCCCGGTGAAAGCGTTACTACTTGACAAGACTAAAATGGTGGGCAATGAGAAAGAGGAACGTGGGTCTAATGTTGCACAAGCTACTTCATGGGAGATATTGCAAGAGGGAAATAATCCAAGAGCACAGTGGAGTGGATGCTGTAGTGTTGATTTACTCTTGTGTTTCTGATATCTGCACTAGATCTCAGCTTGCCAAGCATCTTTGTTGTTACTAGCAAAATGTTTATTTTATTTTTTCTTCTTCTTGTAGAAAATTTTACTACATCACACTGCTGAGAGACCCCGTATCTCGTTACCTCAGCGAATGGCGTCACGTCCAACGAGGAGCTACTTGGAAGACCTCCTTGCATATGTGTGATGGCAGGACACCAACTCCTGAAGAGCTGCCGTCGTGCTATGAAGGCACGGACTGGTCAGGCTGCACACTGCAGGAGTTCATGGATTGCCCGTATAATTTGGCCAACAACCGCCAAGTGAGGATGTTGGCTGACTTGAGCTTAGTGGGCTGCTACAACATGTCTTTCATCCCAGAGAACAAGCGAGCACAGATCCTGCTGGAGAGCGCAAAAAAGAACCTCAAAGACATGGCCTTCTTCGGCCTGACAGAGTTCCAGAGAAAGACTCAGTACCTGTTTGAGAGAACTTTTAATCTGAAATTCATCCGGCCCTTTATGCAGTACAACAGTACCAGGGCAGGAGGGGTGGAGGTGGATAATGACACCATCCGGAGGATTGAGGAGCTCAATGACTTGGACATGCAGCTCTATGACTATGCAAAGGACCTCTTCCAGCAGCGCTACCAGTACAAACGGCAGCTAGAGAGGATGGAGCAGAGGATAAAGAACCGGGAAGAGAGGCTTCTTCACCGGTCCAATGAAGCACTTCCCAAGGAAGAGACCGAAGAGCAAGGACGCTTGCCCACTGAGGACTACATGAGCCATATTATAGAGAAGTGGTAGCCTAGGCAGACTTTTATATTAATGATATTCTAGGGTTTCCATATAAAAGATCATGGAAGTAAAATTACAAAAACAACAAAAAATATTTTATTTAAAAGCAAGTCTGTAAAACAGAAGATAGATTGCTTCCTTAAGCATAGGGTCTTTTTACTGTTTCTTACAAGACCGATGAGATTCTTAAAAAAAATAAATACATAAAAATAAAAAAGGGTCAACATAATAATGCAGAGGTAAAAAATGCACAAATGCAGTAACCCACTCTTAAGGCCAAATACAAAAGAATGTTTCTTATCCTCACAATTTGAACACAAATGGCAGAAGTAGGATTTTTAAGATCTGTTTATACCCTGAGCATAACAATATAAAGATACATCATTTAAAAACCAAGGAAATGGAGGTTTTCTTTTGTGAGTGTTTTTGGAGGTGGGATGGGAATTGCATTGCTTGTAAGTAAATGGTAGCAGTGACTAAGTTGAGGATGTGCTGTCCTGTCAGGCGGTGTGATCTGAGCACAAGGGCAGTCACTTCATTTCAGCTGGCAGCCGCTGCCAGAAAGTAGAGCACCATAAAAATAGAAGAAGAAAAAAAAACGATCAGAGGATGAGAAACATTGAAGCAAATTGACTATGGCCTAGGACACGTACTTAGCACAGTGGTTTTGATACATTGCACTGGTATCACGTATACATACGCAACTCCATCACAAAAATAATAGGGAATTCATGCACAGAGCTCCCAGATTTGTTTCACAGGCAGGTCCCAAAACAAGTTGAAAGCCAACCAAATTCCACATAGGCTCAAACGTGCACTCACATGCCATCCTGTCACCCTACACAACTGCCACTCATGCCATCATCAGTATTATGTGTTAACAGCACATGAAAACCCTATCCTACATACTAAAAAAAAAAAGGAAGAAGAATTTAAATAGCAATACTCCCTCATAAATCTGCACAAGTTCCAGGGAAGACCCTGCAAATAATCAGTCAATAATGGGAACATGATGAGGGGGTGATTTTGTTTTGTTTGTTGCTATGTGAAATACTGAACTAGAACAAGCATACAGACGTACCCATATCTGTATTTTTTCAGTTATTTTTACTTTCTTTTATCAAGAGATAATGGGCATCAGCCTGCTTCCAGTGAAGTCACTAGAACTGATTTAAGTGGGAACAGGACGGGGCTCCCTTCCAGAGCTGTGAAAATTTCTGACTATGGGTCTGAATTAATTATGAGACAGTGCACATTGTCTTTTGGCAGAGTGCCTGTTCTGCAGCTCTTACTTTAAATGAACAAGCTGTGTGCATAAAACTGGAAAGGGGGAATCATGGATAATGTTTTTTTAGTCTCAGACCACTTTCAAAGCAGAACTCTTTCTCTTTCAATACTGTTTTTTAGGGACTCATGTAAGTTTAATCCTCCAGTGTGGTGACAGTCTAACCAGGTTCTGCTTACTGACTTTTGAGTCATAGAACAACAATGACTTCTCTAATTCCTCTTCTCACTCTCCAAATTAAAGTATGGCTTACTTTCTTGCTGTTGCAAGCACTTCTTTGTTTGGCTGGAAGCATGGAAATGAAGCAGTTTTTGCCTGTTTCATGTCTCGCCCCGTTATTACTCAGCCTGTAAGACCTGAACCAGCTATTGTTTAGGGTAAACTATGAACCAAATGGAATATGATTTGATTTTCAAAGGCCATATTAACTGCAGATCAAATATGGCATTGAAATCACTGGAGGAGAGGCAGAGAGCTGATGCAGTCAACTTTAGCATGTCATTTTCACGGTGTCCCTTTCCCATCACGCAAATCCACTGAAGTGCTGCTTGTTTTGTATTTTAATTCTCTCTCTGCCTCTGTACACTGTTTCCAACAGTTTCAAATTCAAACTGAGTTTTGGAAAGGAGGGGCTGCCTTAAGCTGAGGAGCTGCCTTGTTTCTTCTGTGTACACCCTGGGGGATACACCTTGCTTTTGGAGATGTCATTCTCCAGAAGAGTAAAGACAATTAAAAACGTAAGAGCAGAAAATACAAACAGCACTTTGGGCTCAAATACAACCCTCTTCCAGCCCCAATCCAAAGTCCACCAAAGTCAAAGGATGTCTGTCTTATTGATTTCAGATGGATTTTGATCGGGTCCACATTCTCGTGCTGTGAAGTGCCCAAGCACACGCTCATTCGTCTTCAGGCACAGTGGGACGTTGTTACCCATGCATTCGGCTGGTACCAATATTTGCGAGTGGTGTTGCTGTCTTTAAGGTCAGTGCTTCTGCCACAAACCAGCCTCTGCTCCCACAGATGTGTAGCCTGGCCATCAGCATTCCCTCCTAGCTGAAAAGTGGGAAGCGAAATGAAGCAATTTTCGGTTGTTGGCTTGGGGGCAGAAGGTATTACAAATCCATTTGCTCATCTCTGAATTCCAAGACTGGGAGGAGCTATGTCTGCTAGTTCCCAGCGTTTTTATGTGTTGCTGTAACTAAAGAAAACATTTGTATTTTAAAAATGCAATTTTACAGGCTGTTTACCCACAAAACCAATACACAAGATATAAAAAGCAACTGTTTTATATGCACCGTTTCCAGCTTTACCCAAAGGCTTTTCACTGTGCATTCTGCGTTATGGATCCATAACGCACCAATGGCTACTGCAGCGAATCCATATTCTTGGTGCACGTGGGCTCAGCCCCGGCAGGGCCATGCGGTGAATGCGCGGGCAGGTCTGCCTGTGCCGGCAGTGACTTCTGAGAGCCATTCAGTACCGAAGGTGAAAGTCTGCTCTTGTCTACCAAAGGGTGACAGTAAACAGGACTGTGTATGATTGGGATCGGTAACGTTATTTGGCCCGGTTTGCCTGAGTTGTTTCTGCGTTATGGGCTCTGAGTAACCAGCTGGATTTTAATGGATCTGTCTGCAGGGTTCTCTAAATCAGAGGCAGCCTCTGACCCTAGAAGTATGTCAATAGAAGACCTTGTTCCAACATTTTCTTTGTAATATATTGCAGTAACAAGCAAAAGAAATGAAACTATCTTGAAAACTGTCTTGTTAACAGTTTCACTTCAACCCACAAAAGGAGGGCTGACCTCAGCTTAGCACTGAGGCCAAAATTTCTAGATTCAAATCGTGTGCCCAGCAAATGCCTCAGTTTCCCCACCTGTACATTGGGAATAGCAAATTTATACACTGTAAAGAGGCACTCAAAGCTATGAGAAGTTTATGGCACTTTGAAACAGATTCTAAGTATCAGAAATGAAGAGAATGACCCAAAAGCCACCGCTCACCCTGGCTGCTGTGCTGGTCTATGGCTGTAAGCCATGCTTTCGTGTATTGCAAGTGCTGTGTGCCAGAGCGTGGCTTGCAGGACGTACCTGGCACCATCATCTTCCTTTAGTGGGTTTAAGGGAACTTTTTTAACATAATGTGAATGTAGTTTTTTGTGATTTCTATGTACTACAGTTTGAAGTGGTACAATTTCTTTTATTTTTAGGACTGATTATTTGATGCTACAATAACATGAAAAATGTATGTGTAGTTTTAAAATGAATGGAGAACAACGGCTTTAAGGCACTCCAGCAGAAGTAGTGGCCAGATAGTACATTCTTGTTCAATATCTGCCCCTTTCTTCCAAAATGTTTTTCCTGTGGCTTCCAGGCACACTGAAACCTTCTTCACTACATGAAGTGTTTCTTCATGGGGCCCATCAACGTGTCACAATCCAGGTCAGGACAGGTGAGTGCTGCATACAGTGAGGGCAGGTGCAAGATTGCGACCTGCCTCTTACTGGAATTGGTGAGACGGTTCCCCTTAAATTCAGATTTTACCTAGTTAGATGCTTGTCCAGCCCACGGTGTTTCTGCTGTGGTTCCAGGGATACCCCATGAAAAGCCCTGCCAAAAGCTAGGGCTGTGTTAGGGATTTCTAAGGGTTTATGCCATCAGCAGTATTAGTGCGAGCGAGCATTTTGGACAGGCAGTTATCTGGTACTAGGGCAAAGATGATGGCTCAGCCTCTGCCATTTTATACTGTTCTGACCCTTGCACGTCTGCCAACGAAGGTGATACTCTGAGAGGGGAGTTGCCAGCAGGCTCCACTCCTGCTTTGGGAGGGTGGAAAGGCCAAGACACGCTGCAGCGCTGAGGAGGAGGTCGCTTTTGCTTTTAGTCACCTGAACAGTGTTAATTTCGCCACTTGGTAGTTGTTGGCGCTGAAGAAAACTTTTTTATTGCTCATTTGTCTCATCCCAGCTAGCTCTGTTGAAGGAGTCTTCTTCCTACTCCAAAGTTTCCCAGCCAGTCAGATGCCACCTTGTACCCTACCCAGGCCACAAAATGCAGGATTGACTGGTAAGGTTGCAGACCCTGGCTGTCATGGGGTTCAAAGTCATCAACAAAAAAACTCTCAACAAAGGATCAGTGTGAATTTCTGGCTTGCCTGCATTTCTCCCTTCGTGCCAAACATTTTGGAATAAATGGGGAGCACTTCAGCTTGATGTTTTTGTACCCCATAGTCCCTTACTTGCTTACAAAACCAGGATAGCAATGGAAACGGCATAAAGGAAGATCCCAACAAGCTTTTGAATCCTCTCCCCCAGGGCTGTCCTGTAGGAGCAGGAAGGGCAGCACCATTGATGAGAATACAAACAAGGCAGAAGGACCACCGCAGTGGCAGTACAGACACATGCCAGTTAGGAAGTTTTCACTCTGAGCCCATCAAATCACTTCACAGAGACCACTGAACAGCTACAGAAGGTAATGACTCACATCACAGAACAGGGCCTGACCTAGGTTTATGTCCTGGGGTTAAACGCTTCTCGAGCTTCTTACTGACGTTTAGAGTTACCGAGACCCCCTCCTGTCCTGGAGAATTTTCCGAATGTCACAAAAATGGGTAGCATTACAGAAATTTGCAACACAGACTATGCTAAACATTGTATTTCCAGGGCTGTAGCTTGGAATGAAACTCACACTATCTGCTGGATTCAAATCACAAGGCTGGCTGCATTATCTTTTTGTTCTTGTTTTCACTAATATTAGCAGATCATGTTCCGGTGGCAGAAGTGAATGCCGGATTCGCTGCCTG